TTCCAAATATAATTCACTGGCAACAAGCAGAGAGTGAAGGCTCAACCTTTGGGACTGGTGTGGTGGTAGGGACCTTCAGACAGGAGTTTTGTCATAAAGCAGCTACACCTACCTGGGTCAGTCATTTAACTTTTACGGTTTCAGTTTTTTCCTCTTATAAAATAAGTATTACTAGACAAAAAGATCTGAGTTTACCTGTAGTTCTAGGTCTTTATCCCTGGCAAATACGGGAAGTATTCATACTTTAAATTTTTAATGGTTCTTAAATAAACCTATTATACACGTGCAAAAATAACAAGATTTCATTTAGACTATGCTGCAGGTAAATGCTATAAGGGGAACGAACTTCCTCTGTCTTGAAGGGTGTGGGAGCCAGATGCTAGCCCCATCCACTGTGCACTTCTTGTGCCACCACACTGTTCCTTCTGGCTGCTTCTGTCACCTGACAAGTCACACCAGTTCCCCACAGGGCACGATCAGCTCTCTATCCCCACACTTTCACTGTAGCGAAGATTATAAATAAATCCTATATTCATATGAAAGCACCATGCCCAGGCCTGTGTATTCTCTGGGACTAATTGCTGAGGGAAAGCCAATAATCTACTGAAACTCTCATTCCAGTCTACGTGGTTATTAGATGCTAATGCCTTTTGAAATTAATTCAGAACCCTTACACCAGCATCACACTAAAGGGGAAAGAAGCTGAGATTTAATCACATTGCCTTCTGGGAGCTCAATGTAAGATTTCTTTTATACATGAGCCATAAATCGACAGAACTCGCAGACTGCTCTAGCACTGTAATGATGCAGTCCCACAGCAGCAAAACTGCTGGCAGGTGTCATGCCAAAAATCAGTCACGGATGGGACTCGAGTAGAGATGCAGAGTTTCTCACTTCAGAGAAGCTACAGTGTATGTTTGACCATTCTCGTTTCTACTTTCTATAAATTAGCCTCATCTGAGGGTCTAAAAGAAGTCAGATCAACTATAAATAAAAGAAGCTGTGAGCAAAGTAATAACATAATGATAAAAACAAAGCAATTATGAGAAACAACATGAGCAAATGGTGGAGTTGGAAGAATAATGAAGACATGGATAACTTTACCTCATTTGACAAAAATAAATGGAGTGTGAATGGGTAAGCAAATACAAAAGGTTTGCTCTAGCCCAGAAATCTAGTAAGCATAATCTAAAAGCCCATTGTAAATGCCTCCTTCGTGATGCAGTGTCCTTCTGCAATCTAATACACTGCTTATCCAAAGAACAGCTATTGTAACACTGCTTCCAGCTTTCCTGGTACTCATCGTTAAATCAATGTCTTATTCTCAGTTCAGAAGCACACTGGATTTGATATTATGCTATATACAAATTCTTCACATATCATAGAGAAATGACTGAAATTTTTTCTCAGCCCTAAAAAGAAACCAGGAAAATATTTCCCACATGAATTTTTTCCTTTCATCCCTGACCTAGAGCCAGAAGCATATGAGAAGATGACTTATAACTGCATAAGAATTCAGTATGTGCACTGTTCTACTCTCTCAGCTTTTCAAGATGCTGCATGGAGCTACTGAAGAAAAAGAAGGTGGTTTCCCTCTGGAACATACTTTCAGAGACAAATGTATTAATATAAACAAGCTAAAAGGAATCAAAATACACAAATCCACATGAAAATATTATTTTATAAATATTATCATTTGAAATTCATTATGGTATTACCAGGTGCCAGATACTGTGGCAAAACTTGACATATCTTCTCTCATTAATTCTCATAACACCCTCTGAGGTGGAGGCTATACCATCACTAGACTGTAAGCTCTATGAGAACAGGACCATGGATTTTGTTCACCAGTGAAAAATCGCACCGTGTTCACATACTTCCTCCTACACAACAGATGCACAGTAAAGTTCTTGCTGAATAAATGAAAAATTTCCAATTGATAAAGGAGGTAACTGAGGGTTAGAGAAAATAAATAACTAGCCAAAGGTCTGTGATGCTAGAATCTGTGTTCCAACATATTTTATTTTATTTTATTTAAATAAGAGACTCAGTGGAGAGTGCAGGGCGATTAACTCATTACCATATTTAATCTTCTTGTTCTTTTCATCTCTGAATGAAGATGAAGTTACTGAATAGCAACAAAAGACCAAATCCAGAAAGTCAAAGGAAGGAATAGGAGGGCCCTGAAATAGCAAGATGTTAATATTCCTTTTCAGTCAGGAGAGCTCTTCTAGCCTCTAGCCTAGAAAACAAATACCTAAAGTTTCTGTCTTTAAGGAAGGAAATGTGATCTAATTAACAGTCAACCACGTGCCATGTACTTTAAGCCCCTTCTGAAATGCAACTAATAACTGAAAGAACTGGGATAAGATGAAGTAGGGGGCTTCCCTGGTGGCGCAGTGGTTGAGAGTCCGCCTGTCGATGCAGGGGATACGGGTTCGTGCCCCGGTCTGGGAAGATCCCACATGCCGCGGAGCGGCGGGGCCCGTGAGCCATGGCCGCTGAGCCTGCGCGTCCAGAGCCTGTCTCCGCAACAGGAGAGGCCACAACAGTGAGAGGCCCGCATACCAAAAAAAAAAAAAAAAAAAAAGATAAAGTAGGTCTTCCTAGTCCAGTGCTTACTGCCCTGCAGAGTGTGGACTTTTCTGTATGGCCTGTAAAATACTCTCAGTGCAGCCACAGCTCATCTGTTACCTCTATCTAATAAAATGTCAGACAGAGAAATAAAATACCAGTTCTCCTGTTGGTCTGGATCACATCGGCCATTCCATCTTGAGTCTTAATAACGCAGAGAGAATAGGACTAGAATCCTCATGTTCCAAAGTATAGCTTTTGGAACATTTCCATGCACCACATGAGACAGGAAATGTGTTTAGGTACATATAATACAACAGAATGATTTAATATACATGATTTCCTAAAGCCTAGGGCATCATAAATCAGGATTCTCGTGGATCTAAACAGATTGGGTTTGGTTGAAGCACCATGGGGAACGCGGTATACTTCAGTGGCTAGAGCACGGTTCCTGGAGCCTGGCAAGTCTGGGTTCTTAGTAACTTATTTCTGTAAGTTACTTATGCAGTTTTCTTATCCACAAAATGGGGATAACAACAGTACATACCATATAGGGCTCTTAAGAATACTGAATACAAATGTGCGAGCACATAGGTAAAATGCTAGGAATAACTCAGTAAATTAGCTTTTACTTTCATCTTATTACCACCACTATCACTTCAGTTTCGTTTATGAAGAAATCTCTAAACATAAGCCAAAGGAAATGAACGTGAAGCAACGAATTATATTGGTTAATACATACTGTCACCTTTGATTTTTATTTACATAATGATTATGCTAATCAGTGCTACTACCCAATGTGGGTCCCTTTCATGATGCTATATTACAAAAGAACAAGCAAAGAAAAGTAATTCCATAAGTGACTTCTTTGTGAAAACAGGTTTTAGATGGAGAGAAACTACTGGGGCTTAGAAGACAGAGGGCGATACTCGTGTCCCCACAGTTGTGTCTGATCAGCTTTAGCTGTAGATATTATTAGGCAAGTCACACTGTGGATGACTATGAATTCTATTCCGAGTCTGAAGAGGAAACTGTAAAATGAAAAATTAGTAAAGGCCTCATTTTAAGTAAGCAGTCTGACACTCGGTACCTCTGTGATTCAGCTCCCCCAAATGTCCAAGTGTTGGAGCATTTTATCCAAGAGGCCTTAGAGCACACTGGTTAACAAGGAGCTAAGAAGTCAAACTGCCTGACATTGAATCCCAGCACCTCATTTACTTTGTGACTTAGCAGTAAAGCTATGTCTGGTACCAAGTACAGACCGCTCTTGTCACGATTGTTGTTATAATTTTTTTTTTCATTTTTGTTATGCAACAATCTTTTCATGTCTCTTTTCTTCCTCGAGAATGTGAGCTATTTGAAGGAAGGGACTGGATGTATTCATCTCGTTTTTTGTGTCCAGTCCTAAGAGACGCTCAAAAAACTGTTAGCTGAATGAGGAGCAGGCAAACAAATACCAAACTAAGATAAATTCAGAGCAGAAACTCTGACTTTAAGCTTAGAAAATGAGGATAACCTTTTCAGACTATTGATGAAATCATCCAGAGCAGTAGCAGAGGATCAGTCATCTTTTGAGCTTCTCTTATCTTTCTCCTATTCCTAAATAAGAAATCTTATTCCTTAACCTGTGGCCTTAACCACATCACCAACTTCACAGATATTAACCAATCCTTGACAACCAGTTCATAAAGTTTTGTTGGCTATAACACCTTCACAAAAAACTGATAACTGATAACAATAACAAAAAGAAATGTCATACTTACGGTTAATTCAGAAGCTGAAGAGGATTTTGGTAAATACTAATAACATTAGATTAACACACAAATTAGTTTTGAACCTTTTGGAACTTATATTTAAAAACAAGCCCTATTCTTTTAATGTGTTTCCATGAGATTTTACTTAAGGACCCCTAAATTATTTTGTGAGATTAGTTTTTTTGTTTTTGTTTGTTTTGGTTTTGTTTTGGTTTTTGGCCATGCCACACAGCATGCAGTTCCCTGACCAGGGATCAAACCCGTGCTCCCTGCAGTGGAAGCATGAAGTCTTAACCACTGGACTGCCAGGCAAGTCCCTGTGAGATTAGTTTTTACTCAAACAGCAAACAGCAACTGTAAGCAACAATATGATTTTTGTTCTCGCTTGGGAAAATGATAATAAATAGCTGACGAAAATGTAATTTATAACATTCTTCCCCTTCACTTCATTTTCCTATACAATATCCTCTATACCCCTTCATCTCACCAGAACAGAAATTCAGGATATATGCCCCTAGATGGATGGATATATTAGATAGAGAGTATATATAAATATATGGATGGATTTTAACCTTATGTGATCATTATAATGAAAGTAACTGGACAGATTTTATTGAAGAATCAAATGAGCCTAATAGGGAAAAAAAAAGAAAAAGAATATCTGCCCCTCACCTCCAACAGTTCATCTCCAATACGCATTCGCCCGTCCGTGGCAGCTGGTCCTTCAGGGTTAATTCCCACCACAAATATGCTCATGCGTGACCTGTCTTTGTTACCAGCAAGGCTGAGTCCAAGTCCATTCTTATCCTTTTCAAGTTCAATAATGTGCAGTTCTCCAGGCAGGTCTGCATATCTTTGCCTGATTTTTTCTATTAAAAAAAAAAGGTAAAAAAATTTAAATAGAGCACTTGAATCTATATTAGCAAGATTATGGCATTTCCCCATCTTTGACAACGCCTCTACAATGAACTGTCCCTTCTTGAGAGCGAAGTGTTTGAGGTCATTCATAGCCTTATATATAGGTTACAGTTAAAAATTATTTCACCTCCATCTAACAAGGTTGGCTCACCCATAAAACCTTCCCTGATTGTTCAGGTTCACACTGGCCTAGACCTTCTACATATTATTTTCTTACCTAAGAGAGTCAACACAATGTGGTGGAAACCCTGGCCTCCCTGCACTACCCCGCCACCCCCCAACTTCCAAAAAAAGAAAAAGGGAAACAAAGAATATATACTGATCACCAGCTGTGTTAACAAGCAAAGTGTTTGGTCTTGGAGATATCGTGCTGAACAAAACAGACATGGTTCTATTCTCATGGACTTGCAGTCCAGTAGGAAAGAAAATCAACAATTAATTCTAAATAATTACATTTCTTTAAAGTATACAAAGGGTACAAAACAATACTGGGTGTTATGTGAGTAAAAACAAGGGGAATTAAGGATGTTGATTTACTTGTCAGATCTGAATTCAATACACAAATCTACCACTTACTCAATGTCCAATAATTAATACATTATTTTACCTCTATGGAATTCCACTTTTTCCTCTTTAAAATAGGTATGAACTTCCACTTCATGGAAGTTGGGAAAATTAAATAAAATACACATTAAAGAACTTAATGGCTCATGACTTACAGGTATTTTATAATTCTTTTATTTGATCTTCTGTCTCACCTTGCAATCTCCACTTTATGCTCTAAATTACCTATTTTAGGATTTGGCTGGTTATACTTCACTTGTGTCGATTCTGTGCAACGAAACCACACTGGCAGGTCAGTGTTGGGAATGATACTGCTTTAGACATGCCTTGTACCCCACACAGCACCAGCTCAGGCCAGGTGTGCTGCCAGGGCTCAGAGGCTTGCTGACTACTCCATCGTGTGATGTAATCATCTTATCAGCTGAATAACCAAGCAGTAGCTTGTGCCTATCCTGAAACTCTCTACGCTCTTAACACTTGATTTAAGTTCATTGTCCTTAGAGGGAACCTTCCAAGTTGAAAACTTAACTCAAATAATTAGTGTTAAGGGGTAGGGGAAGGAAGACAGCCTAGTCCACTTCATCACTTTACCAGATATAACACTGCCTTATAAGAGTAGATAAATTTAAACCCATAAAAGCTATTATATGCATAAATTTATATTGAAAGAATGATAAATTACTGCTTATTTATTCATTTATTTATTTTTTAATGACTGCTTATTTTATAAAGAGGTTAAATCTGCCTGCTTTACAAGGATTTTAAAGAGAATGTTAAAGAACTTTCACTGATAATGCTTATTATTAATAATAAAGAACACATTTAGCAAAATACAATAAAACAAAGAACTTGCAATGTAATAAAACTGTCCTCTAATTAGAAATAAAATTATTCATATCAACACTGAAGTAAATAAACTCAAAGTATTTTTGTTGGTCAACTACCAAGAACAAGCCACTATGTGGGTACCTTAACAGAGCATACAAAACACATGGTACCCTCAAGATGCTTTTACAGCAAAATAGGGGAAGCAAACAAATACAACAAATATTAAACAACTATAGTTATGTAAAGAGAAATTCCAACCACCACAAGTGCTGGTCACTGAATAAATACTAAATGATTAGTGAATTAGGTCAGTGAATAAACCTTAAATTAATTGCGCTAGCAATAATTGCTTTTAGAGGTCTAAGAATTGATATGGCTAGAAGAGATTTTATGGAAGAAGCAGAATTTGAGAATGTTTTTATCTCATTTTTTTAATTAAAGTATAGTTGACATACAATATTATATTAGTTTCAGATGTACAACAGAGTGATTCAACATTTATATACATTACAAATTGATCACCATAATAAGTCTGGTAACCACCTATCACCACACAAAGTTATTACAATATTATTGACCATATTCCCTATGCTGTACATTGCGTTCCATGACTTATTTATAACTGGAAGTTTGTACCTCTTAATCCCCTTCACCTATTTTGCCCAACCACCACCCACCTCTGGCGACCACCAGTTTATTCTCTGAATCTATGAGTCTGCTTCTGTTTTATTTAATTTGTTCATTTGCTTTCTTTTTTAGATTCCACGTTTATGGGAAATCATACAGTATTTACCTTTCTCTATCTGACTTGGTGTAATACCTTCTAGGTCCATCTGTCATATATATATATATATATATATATATATATATATATATATATATATATACCACATCTTTTTTACCCATTCATCTATGGATGGACACTTAGGTTGTTTGGCTATTGTAAATAATGCTTCTATGAACACTGGGGTGTGTATATCTTTTTGAGTTACTGTTTTCATTGTTTACATAAACAAGAAGGGTTTTGAATAAGGTACAGAGTTTGGTTATGTCAAGAAGAGTCCTGGTAGATGTAATGACAAGGGGAAAAGCATCTTTGCAGGTGGGTGAGGAAGAGAACATGAAAGCCCATCTCGCTTTGAACGGAAAATTGTTTGGGTTAGTGGGTGGGTGACAAGAAATAAGAGTACAAGGTTAAAAGATTAATTGACAGTTTGTTTACAGAAATAATATGCCAGGGCTTCCCTGGTGGTGCAGTGGTTAAGAATCCGCCTGCCAATGCAGGGGACACAGTTTCGAGCCCTGGTCCGGGAAGATCCCACATGCCACGGAGCAACTAAGCCTGTGTGCCACAACTACTGAGACTGTGCTCTAGAGCCCATGAGCCACAACTACTGAAGCCCGCGCACCTAGAGCCCGTGCTCCACAACAATAAAAGCCACGGCAGTGAGAAGCCCGCACAATGAAGAGTAGCCTCCGCTTGCTGCAACTAGAGGAAGCCTGCGTGCAGCAACAAAGACCCAATGCAGCCAAAAATAAATAAATTAAATAAATAAATTTAAAAAAAAAAAAGAAAGAATATTCCAGTTTAGGGACTCTGCAGAGGTGCATTGAGGTACTCTGGGGATGGGGCCTTGAGGGAACACTCGATTTAAGACCTGTTCTCCCAGATTCAACCAGAGCAGTTATACTTTCACCTACATTGTTTACAGGATTTATAGGGTAAGATAGTGAAGAAATGATACCACAGTTAAGGAAACAAATAAAACAAAATTTTAACACATCTTTCTCAGAAAATAATAAAGCAGAAAAAGATTGTTTTAAAAAAGAAACTGAAGACTAACAACATAATAAGCTCAAGGTATTATATGTAAGAGACTGTGACATCTGACAGACAGAAAATACACATTTTGGGGGAGGCACACACAGAACAATTACAGAAACAGACTGTGTATTGGATCATAAAAGAAACTTCAATAAGTCTCAAAAAAATCAATATCATACAGGCTGTGTCTTTGGACATAGTGCAATAAAACTATGAAAAACTATAATGACAAAAAATAGCTTTAAAGCTCTCTTGTGTTTGACATAAATTAATAGTTAATAATAAATTAATGTTAGTATTAACATAAAGATATTTTCAAAATAGTGCTGAATGAAATGGGGAAAAAACAGAATGGGGTCAACATCATTATGCAATAACATTTATGCGAATTAACATTCTGCACAAAAACCACAACACATATTTTGCAAGTGCATATACAAAAACACAAATATTTAACACATTAGAATAGTTAATTATACTGGGTGTAAACAGACAGGAATACAAGGGGGCAAAGAAAACCAAACAGCGACTCTCAGATGGCCAATGATGGTAACATGCTATCAAGGATTATATTTAGTGCAATCTTCTGCCCCTGGGGACTGAAAAAAAGAATGAGCTGAGAAAGGTTTTAGTGTTAAATTAACATAAAAAGACTTTCAGGTTCCAAAATTTGTCTGACTTGTTCAACCTTCAGGGAAAAAAAAAAAAAAAAAAACCTTCATGGCCATTAACTATACATTCAACTGCTTAGATATGTAAATGATTAATGACACAAGGGATCCCCTTTGGTAAAATGTGGCTCTATCACAAATGATGAACAACTCAAATTGTGCTACAAAAGGTAAGTCTCTATCAAAGCATTCTTGTGGCTGAATAGAAACAGCAAGGGCTAAAGGGTCAGAATTTGGTTCAAGTCCTAGCTGAGGCACTTAACACCACTGGTTCCTTGGACCAAATACTGAACCTCTACTAACTTATTTGTAAAATAGGGTTGTTACCTTAAAATGGATGTTAACTAAAAATTCCTAGGACATAGGGTCCAAATGTTAGGGGAACAACACAACCATGATTTCACTTTCATCATTTAGTTATACTGAGGTTTTAAGTTAAAATTGGTGACAAAGCTACTTTTTTCTTCTTTAACTTTATCTATCTTGAGGAAAACTGAGACTTGTGAAAGGAAACAGTGGTTCCCCATGATGGCATAAAGGAAGCAGGCACACAGTCCTCCAATGGGAATCAGGAGAGGAAGGGGCTCTAGCATCATTATTCCTCGATTCTCTTCTTTGAGTTACTTATATTGAGGAGTCCCAAGGACAACTTCTTGAGGAGCAAAGGAACAACAGCACTGTTTCAAGTGACTGTCCCATGGTTCATAGGTCATTGAGGTGGCTTTAAAATTGTGTGCCAGCCAAGTGTGGAATTAAAACCCTTTCCATAGTTTCAGTTTGGGAAGATGAAAAAGTTTTGGAGGTGGATGGTGGTCACAGTTGCACAACAATGCAAATGTACTTAATGTCACTGAACTATGCGCTTAAAAGTAGTTAAAATGGTGTATTTGTTATGTATATTTTATGACAATTATTAAAAAAAAAAACAACCCTATCTATAGGCTTAAAAGACCCTTCAAAAAATTGGTTCCCTTATCAACGTCCCACCAAGGGACTAAGTTGTAGATTTGTTATCCCAAACTTTTGAAACCTCCAGCCCTATTTTTCCGGCCAATTGTTTTGT